ATTGCTGATGGGATCGTAAAATGGTGCAGCCACTTTGAAAAACAATTTGGCAGTTCCTCAAAATGTTAAACGTAGAGTTACCATAGGACCCAGCAACTCCACTCCTGGCTATATACTTGAGAGAATGAAAACATATGTTCGTGCAAAAACTTGTACATGAATGTTCATGAATGTTCATGGCAGCATTATTTGTGATAGCCAAAGAGAGGAAACAACCCAAGTGTTTACCAACTGATAAAGAGGGTAAGCAAATTGTGGTATATTCATACAACGAATATTATTCTACTGTGAAAAGTAATGAAGTAATGATTCATGCAACAACACAGATGACCCTTGAAAACATTATGCTAAGTGAAAGAAGCCAGTCACAAAAAAAACCCACATATTCTATAATTCCATTTACATGAAATGTCTAGAATAAGCCAATCTATACAGACAGAAGGTAGATTTGTCGTTGCCCAGGTGGGTGGGGTATGGAACGGGGAATGATGCTGGTAGGTACAGGGTTTCTTTTGGGGGTGATAAAAATGTTCTAAAATTAGGTATTGGTGATAGTCACACAACTCTCAATATACTAAAACCCACTGGGTTGTACCTTTAAATGGGTAAGTTTTTTAAGGATGTGAATTTGATCTCGAAAAAGCTATTATCTTTTAAAAAATGACTTTTCAGCCTTTGATTGTCCTTAAAGCCACCACTGGAGAGTTCTCTTTAGTTAATGCCAATTTCGTCTCTTACCTGAGTGCGGATGAAGTGGGGGCATGTCTGAAACCGTCTTTGGCTCTGTCCCGCCGTCGGCCCCACAGCTGAGGTTTTCCAAACTCCCAGGTTCTCCCCTGACGCCAGGGCTTTGCACGTGCCCCTTCCTTTACCCGGATCACCTGTTTCACCAGCCACCTGCTCCCACCTTCTTCCCACATCGGCCGTCCGTGCCTCCCAGGACAGCACGGGGCGCTCTCTGAGGTGCTCCCCTTCTCCCCCCATCCCATTGTGTTGGGTTGGTTTGTTCACTACCCTAGGTCCTCCCCGAGGACAGGTGAGACTATGTGTGAGCATAGACTTGATTGTGAATAAATGAATGAATGAATGTGTGAATGTATGTCTGAAAAAGAACGTGCATTTGTAGGAGTGGAGGGATACAGAGAATAGGAAGGAAAAGGGAAAAGGAAGGAGGGAGGACCTGGACTGAAGTTAAATTACTACGTACCCATCTTCCCTGTTTCCTGAGAAATGTATTTTACAGCCATTCTGACCATTTGAGCTTCAAACATCCAAGAATGTCTTTTCAGTTGCAGTCTTAGGAATCAAGCCAAAACCTTTGGCTTTTCAAGAAAACACCCCGCACCTTGTTTTCCTAGTCAGTGGCTCCGAAATCCCAAGTTGGGGATCTAGCCAAAGAAAATAATAACAACCACCTGAATGCAGAGTGGGGGACGAACTTTAGAATTTTATGAGCAAAGTTATTTATCAGGGCATTATTTATAATAGTCAAAAATTAGAAATAACCTAGATATCCAACAGTAGGGTAGTATACCTGACACCGTGGCCCAAAGAGGGAATAATATATACCCACTAAAAGAATTTAATGACCTGGGAAGATGCTTGCATCATATGTTAAATGGGAAAAAAAGTAGGTTATAAACTGGTGGGTAGGTTATAAACTGGTCACTAATATGTAAACTGCGCATGCACACACACAGACACACAGACACACACACACACAAACATCTAAAGAAAAATGTATCCAAATGATTTCAGTGGTTCCTTTTGGTTGTAGGACTACAGCTGTCTTTCTCATTTCTTTCTTTGACTGATCCAGGTGTTCTACAACAAATGTGCATGAATTTTATCCTCACAGAAAAAAAATATCACCTAAGTCTCTCTACACCTGCTGTGTTCAGTCCACCCCCATCCACCTCCAAACCCTTGTCCCGGGCTGCACCCTAGGCCTGCAATGAGCAGTCTCCTGCCAGGTGCTCCCTGTGGCCACTCAGGCAGGTCCTGAAGCCCCACCCCCCAGAAGCCTTTCCTAACTACCAGGAAGGAAGAAGCCTTGCTCATTCCCACCTTGCCCGAGCGCAGTGCCCACACGTCTCTCTCTGCTGGTCGTGTCCAAGGAAATAGCCTGCCCCTTTGCTGGGGCTGGACCTCACCGCATGTCCCTGGCGTGGCCCAGGAGCCAGTACAGCCGGCCCCGAATGTTTCTGTATGTGGTCTCTGAGTCTAAACCCCCAGAAGGAAGTGTTGAGGCCACATGTCTCGTCATTGTTGGATGTTGAGAAGGGTAGTGATGACATTTCAGTCTGCATGTCCTGATTTGCCATGAGAAAGACTTCTCCTGGCCGTTTAAAAACCACCCAAACAGTCTTAAAACAGCTTAAGAAGTGATCAAAGGTGTTTATACTTCACCTGGACCAGCAACCTTCTTACAGGAGTGCGCCCGGCCTCAGTCACTTGGGTTAGGAGGAAAAGCATGAACAAATATTGCAGATGTTGCTCAACTGTACTTTGATCGTTTGTGAATTGATTCGCCCAAATATATCTCCAGTGCATTCTTGAATTGGCATCAAATTAGAGAAACCTTTGGTGGAAAACTTTAGTGGGTCAGCAAACATTTGAGTGCCTGCTGTGTACCTGACATTACGGCATAGAGCGCTTGAGAAATGTTGTGGTTTTAGCAAAGCAATAAACAAATCCAGGGTGATCTTTCCTGCAGAACTTCCTGCTCACACGTTACACCCACGTGAGACAAAACAAGGAAGGCTTGGAGGGTAAGACCCACTGTCTCATGGGTCCTTCAAGAATGGGGTGTGCACTGTGGCTCTTGCAGAGTTCTGAGCTCACCACCCGGCCCGTGTGTGAAATGCGTTGGAACTGAGGATTCAAGTAAGTCCAATATCCTGGCATCGATCTTTGGTGTTTCTGAAACTGAGAAAGAAAGATGCGGCGTGCCAGCCTGTCTCATCGGTCTGGTATTCCACCTGTCATCTCAAACAAGGTCAACAAACCACGGACATAGTTTTCTTCCCCGCAGAACTGCACCCTTTTTCATGATCAGGTCTGGGTGCTGTGTGGCAACTGGAATGGAGTAGAAAGGGGGTGGGGAGGCATTTTTTAATTTCACCCTCTGCTCAAATATTTAAAGTAGAAGACTGAGTAGGTGACTGTCACCTTTGCCAACTAGCCTCTATGCCTGCCACCCAAACGCAGGCCTCCGTGCCACTTTTCTTAGGCCACCACGGTTGACATTTCTCCCCAGTGCCTCTTGGCAAGGCTGGAGGTACCGAGATTCCCAAAGGAGGTTCCGAGGCAGAGCAGCGGGGTTTGCGTTCCGCCATTCCCATGGTGTGTATTTTTGTTGAATGGGGCATATACCGGTGACAGTGGAAATGCTGAGGGTGAAGAAGGGGTTTTGAGGGACCAGCAAGGGAAGAGAGAGGAGGGAGCAGGGACAGCAGGAGAGAGGGGACTTCGTGGGGACTTCCACGTGTCGTCATTGGGTCTCTCCCCGATCTCCCAGGAGATCTTCAGTAAAACATCCGTTTCTTGTTGGAGTCCTGAGGGGCTGAACCTGTTCGCTGGGGGGATTCATTCACTCGTTCATGAAACAAATGTGTATCGAGCATCTGCACGACACCAGGCCGTGGCAAGTGCTGAGGATGAAGCAGCGCATAAAACACACCCAACACCCCGCAACTTGGATGAGCAACTGGACGACTCTCCAAGGGATTCTGCTGTGTGAGAAAAGCCAATCCCAAAAGGTTAATCCTGTGTGATCCCGTTTATGTAACAGTTTTGAAAGGACAAAATTTTACAAACGGTGGCTGCCAGGGGTTAAGGATGGAAGACAGGGTGGGAGGGAGGCTGGTTTGGTGGTAAAAAGGCAGCACAAGGGATACTTGTGCTGTTCAGTATCTTGACTGTGGCAGTGAATACCTACGCGTGTGATAAAATTGTCTAGAACTAAATACATACACACAGATGCACACACGAATACGAGTAAACGTGGGGAAATCTAAATAAGATTGGTGCATTGTGTCAGTGTCAATATTCTGCTGTGATGTTGTACTGTATAGTTTTGCAAAATGTTTGCACTGGGGGAAAGTGGGTAAGATCTACACGGGATCCTTTTGGATACTTTCTCAAAACTGCACATGCACATACAATTATCTCAATAAAATTTTCAATTAAGAAAAAAATAAACTCCCTGGCCTCATGGAGTCTACATTTTAGCGGAAGCTAGGTATGGCTCTGTGGTAGTTGCAGGGCAAAAGCCAAGACCATCCCGGGGAGGTCTGCCCTCTCTGGGGTATTCCATGCTCTGGCACCAGAGGTTCTTTCCCAATCTCCAGACACATCATTGAATCCCCCTTGGTGAGCGAACGAAATCCACTCAGCAAAGGTGCAAGTGCAGGATAAGCGTGTGAATCCCAGCTCCCCTGATCCCATCACATGGAACCTGGGAATTATCCAGCCTGCTTTTGGTTCTTTAAACCATGCATTGGGCACCCACCAGGTTATAAAGGTGAGACCCAGGTGCCATGGGGCTCCCAACAGTTGCATGGAACCCCACTTGGTGTGTTCCCAACTTCCTCCATCTCCATCGTCACCTGGCTCAGGGGCCATCAACTTCCTTCCACCCTGCCCTGACCACCTGGTCTGTCCCGGCAGCACACGAGGCGTGGAGAATCTTCTTTCCCCTACGCATGAAGGCATGGCTCACTGCCCCAGTTCTCGGCAGCAGCAAGAACTGCTCAGGCCAGCCCTGGCCCCAAGACTCAATCTTGGATTCTAGCCCCTCGGCCATGGCTAGGCAGGCCAATGTCCAGCCCCTTAACCCCCTCCTGCAAAGGGGGAGTGTCACCCCAATCTGTTAGTCCCAGGGGTTGTACAATGAGGCATCTCGCTGGCTACGAACCATCAAGCTCTGCGACTCTATTTTATAGCCTTAGAAGAACTTCAGAGGAAGAAGCCATGTAAAAATAAAATAAGGTCTGCATAGACTTTAAAGTTTTTATTATTTTGTATCATGTCATGCCTTGCAATGGAATGACCACAGACGACGTGCCTTCCTGGCCACGTAACTCACTCGTGCAGCACAGCTGAGAAAGCTAGAACTCCCAGGTTACGCTTTAGTCCATTAGAAAGAAGGGAGGGAGGGAAGGAAAGAGAAAGAGACAGAGGAAGGAGCAATGACAAATATTTATCTGTCTCTCCTCTAAGGTGTTAGTGGTTGCTCATTCTAAAAACGATGATAATATGATTTAAGACAATTTTTGATTCACAGTCAAGGTCTTTATCATAAACGAAAGGAGCTTTCTTAGAAGAAATTGAGCTAATCGATACATATTTGATTTTCAAACAAGGTTTTTATGGCCAAAATAAAATGAAAGAAAAGACACTGACGAGCTCTCTCCCCATGCCCTTGCCAACGCGCCCACAGAAGGAAGGGCGCAGATTGAAACGGAGGCCCCGCCCTCCACCCAAAGAAAGGTCTCCAGCTTCGAGTCCTGAGGGTCCTGCCAGCTGAGCGCCCCTTCCCCGGCCCAAGCCCAAGAGTGTCAGGTCTGTGGGGCTTGGTGGCCGTGCGAAGCCCTGTCCCGCTGTTCCTCGGCAGGAGGCTGCGTCCTGGTGGCCCCGTTTGCGGCCGGGATGAACAGCCCGTGGAGGTCCAGGTGCATCTCTACATCGACCGAGGCGCGAGCCAATTCTGTAAAACTTTTGGCGTCCAGAATAAGCAGAAAAGGCGGCTTTTGGGGATCAGTAGAGACAATGGCTGATAAGATGACTCCTTTGAGAAACACAAAGAGACACTTTGTAAAAGGGCAGCCTTAAACCTCCTCCAGTTGGAGGGATCAATTTCTCATCTGTGTGTCTCTGCCCTCTTTGAATTTACCTATCCAACCAAAACAGGAGGGAAGCGAATCTGATCCTCTGTGTGAGCAGAAGGCCTGGGACTAGGAATCAGAAAACCTGGCCCTAGCCCTGGCTGGGCCAGTCCCTTTACCTCTCTGACCCTCAGTCTCTTCATCTGTAGAGTGGGGATAATCCTGTCTACCCTCACAGGGCTGCTGAGAGGATCCCCTGCATGGTGGATCATGAAAGCACTCTGCAAGTTACTGCAGGATCAAAGAAGAGCTATTTTCTACTACTTAAAAACTCCAATTATGGAGGATCAGCTTCAGGGGTGCACTTAGGCTAATATACATCACTCAGCTAAATGCAGACTTGTTGCACTCATGGCATTTGAATGAGCCAAATTCACCTCTTGGCCATACAGCAATCCTAGTAACCTCAGCTTTCCCCTCTGTAAAATGGACATACTCTCAGCATTCACTCTCGGGGGATGGGGGTACCATGACATAATGCACATAAACTTCCTGCGAATACGATTCCTCCCGAGGCTCCTGGGTTGTAGGGCGGTTGAGCACATTTGTGTCAGTTTGGCCTGGACTCAAATCCTACCTCTGTGCATACTGGGCGTGTGATCTTGGGCAGGTTATCTCACTCTCCGGGCCTCCCGTGGGTAAGACGAAGACAACGATACTCCCTGCCCACTGCGAGGAGGGACAGGAAGCACTTGCCCAGCTGGATGGGACACTGGCCTTAGCAGGAGGTGATGCCACCAGCCCCCGACCTCAGGGATGACAGTGACGTGGGGACCCTGGCCCGGCAAGCCATGCTGTGATTGGGAGGAAGACAAGGCCCAGGTGGGAACCACTCCCTTCTCCCCCCAGGGAAGAAGCTGGCAGGCTGGGCGGGGCAGCGCTTCCTCCCCGCAGGTGTGGGCAGCCCCGTCTGTGGCTTGGCCAGGTGACGTCCCCACCCATGGTTCTAGTCACCCTCCTTAGAATCCCCAGGGCTGTGGGCAGGGCATTTCGGAGGCATTTCTGAGAGCCCAGGAGGGAAAGGGCCATTCTGTCCCCCATGTGGAAACTTGGAAAAGAGAGGTGGGCCGCAGGTATGCACTGCTAGCTGATCCATGAAAAATGTACGTGCTTGTGGGTAGGGAAACATTTTGGTCCAGCCACTGCAATGAATTTTAAAACCAAGATTCTACATTCTGAGAGAGTTTAGTATTGCTCAGTGGCAAGGGCACGGGCTTTGTGTAGTAAAGAAGTTGACCGTGTGCCCAAAGAGAGTCTGGCCTTTGCCCTCTGCTCCTGGGAGGTCACCTCGAAGTCCTTGGAATGTCCTGCCTGATACAAGTGTCTTTGTTTACCTGGGGCCTTGGGCCACCCAGACGGTCTACCCTTATAACGTGATTTATGCTGTGGCCTCGGGCAACGTGGTCCAAGCTTGACCTGCCCAGGGCTGAAGACCATAAGGGTCAGCCACACAGGTGGCCAACCACGGCTACGAGACCAAGCCCCAACAAAAACTCCGGACTCAAGGCTCAGGGGAGCATGCTGGGTGGCAGTACTCAGTGTACATTGCCGCACAGCATCGTCAGGACAGGTTAGCGCCGGGACTCCACTGGGAAAGGACAACTGGAAGTTCACACCTGGACCCTGTCCCGTGTGCCTCTTCCCTTCGCTGATTTTAATCTGTTTCCTTTCCCTGCAATAAACCATAGCTGTGCGCGTCAGAGCTTTCGGTGAGTTCTGTGAGTCCTTCCAATGAATTACTGAGCCTGAAGGTGGTCCTGGGGACCCTCAAACTTTGCAGTTGGCATCAGAAGTGAGGGTGGTCTTGGGGAGTATCTAAGCCTGTAGCTTTGACTCAGACAGACCTGGACGGCAAAGCAGAAGTCCACCAGCTTGCTGCCCCCAGATGGTGTCTCTGTGGGAGGGGGCGTCGCGAGCGGCGTGCGGAGAGCGTGCTTACCGTCGTCCTCGTCCTCGGCACCCGGCGCGGGCACGAACAGCGGCTCTGCCGGCCAGCAGCACTCCTCTCCCCATTTTAAGGATGACTTTGTAAGAACGTCGTACTTTATTATCTGCACGGGAGAAATACAGGAGTGACTCGTTTGAGAACATGCGAATAGGAAGGTGTCGCGGCCCACGCAGAAAGGAGATTAAGCCCATCACATGTAGACTTTTGACATTATCTCCCAGTGACATCTACCTCTGGTCAGCACGGCTACAGGAATGAAAGAAGCTAACTTTCCTCCTCTAACTTTAAACGTTGGTCCTCTGGCTACTACATAGCTGACACTGCTCGGTGAATTCTTTTAAAAGTTAAAATCTCGAATGTATTGCATATTTGGTGCTACAATGCAACTTTATATGTGTCGAATAAACTAATATATTCAATGCGAACATTGAAAGTCTAATACAATTTCTTCACTGCTTTAAAAGTGCAAGTGCCTGGACCTCTCTAGATCTCTCGCAGGCCATTTACCTCTAGGGTATGGGATCAGGGCAGTGGCTTGGGATGCTGGCAGCGGGTGGTAATTTTTGGTTTTGTACATTTCTGCACTGTTCATTTTTTTTTTTTTAAAGATTCATTTTTATTATTAAAAAATGAAGATGTTAAGGCAAAGTGATGTCTATACAGTACTTAGCACAGTTCCCAGGACACGGTAAGCGTTCAGCAAATAGTAGCTTAAAGAACAAAACAGGCCGGGCACGGTGGCTCGTGCCTATAACCCCAGCACTTTGGGAGGCTGAGGCAGGAGGATTGCTAGAGGCCAGGAGGTTGAGACCAATGTGGGCAACATAGCAAGATCCCGTCTCTACAAAAAATACAAAACAAAAACAAAAACCCCTCAAAAAAACCAAAATAAATCCTCCAAGTTTCAGCTAGATTTTCTCTGCTTAGAAGGGCGAGTTGCTTGAGGGCAGGGATTGGGATTCCTCTGCTGACTTCCTTCTCCTCAGTGCCTACCACATCGTAGCACACAGTTGGTGCTCAATAAATGTGTGCTGAATAGAGAAATCAATGAATAAACTCCAGCCATGAGCTCTTACCCGAGCTTCAGCCCATTAGGCGTGACTCCCTCTCCTGGAGGGTCCATGGTTACTTCAAGTGTATTTCATCCCAGACTGACCTCCCCTTTGACCTCCTCTTTTCTGATCAAGGCCACCAGGCTCAAAACCTGAGAATTCAGCTTTGCAGACAGACACTGTCATTGCAGGGAAAGCCAGCCCGTGATCACACAGGGATCTGTACCTTGGTTGGGATTGGACTCCACTGAACTTCAGCCGAAAAGATGTACCGGTATGGCTTCCCATTGTGAGCGTAATTGATTCGAGGTAGCTCTAAGCCTGGAGAGAAGTGACACAGTTGGCAAAGTCCCTGTTACTGGGTCTGGGAGCATCCACCCTTCACGCCAGGCGGGGCAGCCTTTGCACAGAAACGGTTCCCGAGCCGAGATCCCTGAACCTGATTTAGACCCGGGACTGGATCAAAGGTGGTCACAGGCAGGGGAAGGAGCCTTCCATAATTACCTCACTCTATTAGAAGGTTCAGGGACAAGCTACCATGGACCTAAGTTTCTAATTGTATAAACACCTTCAATTACCCAAGATAGAAATCAAAGAGAATGGCATGATTATAATCAGAGGCTACTGCAATTTTTTAAAGCTCTTTAAATAAAAGTACTGACGTGTGTGTGTGTGTGTGTGTGTGTGTGTTTGAAGAGAAACTTTGGACGCCATGGACAGAAGTGTCAATAGAGAACAGTAAAATAAATCTGATAAATTCTATAATAACATTATGTAAAAATAATGTTTACAAAGGATTTTAATAACATGGGCCAGTGTCCTTACCACAGGTTAAGTAGAAAAGGCTGGTTATGGAATTACTGCGTCTTCACTGTTACAAATGAAGAGAGGAAGTTTAGAAGCATCGCTGTGAGTACAGCTGCCCAGAGTTTGTATTTTCTATTACAGATTCTAAGTTTCTCATTATGTGAAATTTTTATTATGCCTATTACTTCCATAATAGAAAAAAACTTAAAATTTTTTCCATGGAAAAGTGTATAGTTACATACGTCTGCTGTGTCCAGTTGAATTTCTAAGCCTGAATACTGAAATGAACGAAATATTCCAGGTGGTTGGAGCCAACTGCCGGTGAAGATGTCATGTCCAAGGAAAGCGGGAGCAGAAATGGATTTACCTGCCACATGGTGGCCTTCTGGAGATGACCCCCAGGCATACACGGTTATCAGGCTCAGTGGGGGGTGGAGGGGACTAGTGAGATGGGAAGGAGATGGGAATGAGTAATCGTGAAACTTCCAAGGGACAGGCCAAGATGAATGTGACACAGAGGGACCACTCACACACTTGAGTAAGAAGATGCCACCCACAGTCGACCCCAAAGTAGGGCCTAGACTTCCTGTGATGCTCCTGGGCCCCTTGCAAACCTGGTCTGGGACCCCCCTGACCTGCACCCTGTAAATGGCCAACCACAGGACCTTGGCTACCTAAAGTAAGGCTCACCCTTGTGTGTTCTGTGCGGCTACCAAAAGCCACGCTCTTGAAGAACCTTCAGGATGTGAGAAAATACTCAGGCTACATTCGTGAAGTGTAATAGGCCGTTTCAGAACATTCTAGATACTATGGTATGCATGTTTTAAAAGTATAAATGCAGAGGTCAAGAGTCAGGCAGGCTCTGTTGCCTGTCTTTCGGCAAGTTACGGAGTTATTCCGGCCTGCCTTCCCCAGCACCTGCCTGTTAAAGCCATTCTAGTATCAGCTGCCGTTGGCTGGACTCTCCCGATGGGCCAGGCCCGAGGCTAAAAGCCCTTGAGGTGCACGAACGCCTCTCGTGTCAATGACGGCAGGATGAGGCTGCTGGGATGAAACGGGAGGATGTCTGAGAAGCTGCCAAGAGGGCGGGGCATGTGCCACACAACCCACGCCTGATGGGCAGCTGGATGGACACTCCAAAGAGTTGTCACCGGGGGAGGGATTACGGGTGACTTGTCTATCGTTACACTTTGAGTATTGTGCAATACTGCTACAGCAAACAAGAAACAGACCATAATGTTTGAAGCCTCCATCTGCCCAGGTGACGTGGTGGTGAGTGGGATGGAGACCGGTGCCTTAAGAACCAGCCTGTTCTGGAGGATTCTCCAAGAGAACAAGGTCCCCCACAGAACTGGTTACGGGGTCCATGGGATGCGGTTTACAGAAGTGGATTCTTAGGGCAAATCCGAGGTCATCCTAGCACAGTGCCCAGGACTGTGTGTCCTTCTAGATGCCTGAACCTGGCAGGAGGCAGCCGCCAGAACAAGGCTCTCAGTTTAAATCCACACCTGCCCCTCTCTAGCTGAGCGTCCTTGGGCAGCCCGTTCATTCTGCACTTTTAAGTGTTAAATACAGATGCCAACAGACCCTAATACGCCAGACTTTGTGTCACGTGTGGCAGATATACTGTGAGCACAGAAACAGGACCCCCTTGTCATAGGCTAATGTTCTCGGGCAGTAGCTCTCAATCATGGCGATGGTACCCCCGACGGGACATTACCAATGTCTGGCGATATTTTTGTTTGTCCCAACTCAGGGTAGCGGTGCTCCTGGCATTTAGTGGGTAGAGGCCAGGATGCTACTAAATGATGTAAAATGCCCCGGGCAGACCCCACTCTGAAGAACGACCCAGCCCCAGATGGCAACGGTGCCCGGGCTGACAAGCCCTGCTCCCGCCGGCGTGACTCCTGTTCTAAGGGGTGTACGTTCTGTGTGTAGCTCAACGTCTCTCAGGTCCAGAATCACCTCTATGAAGTTGGGCTGATAAACAACTGTTTTGCAGGGTGAATGTTTAGAGGTAGAAACACGAGCGTATCGTGCCTGTTCAACAAGCCAATGTTAGTAAGTCGCAGCATTTGCTGAAGTCGTCTGGTCCGACAACTACCCGGTGCCTTCCTTTGAGGTGTCTGAAGATACATGAAAGAGAAATGTCCCCAAATGCTTTTCTCTGGGGCATCCCAAGAGCTTCCCCTGTTTGCCCCTTGCCCATGTATGGGAGGGGTCTCCACGACGACCCGCCCCCACTGCAAACGCAGTGAGGGAGGATGCATCCTACCTTCATAAAGCGATTCCGGCTGGCAGTAGACCTGGCCGTCTTTGTCCTTCACGGCTGTTGCTGTTGTAGATGCCACTTTGATCAAATTTGAGCCCACTTCTGCATTCTGAAAAGAATCAGTTTTCGAAAGATATAAAAACTCGCAAGCCAGAGCAAACATTTGCCTTACTGTGTACGGTAAACGAATGCCTGAATGTATGTCATCTTGTTTTAGCCTGACGTCAACCATAGGAAGCAGCTGTTTTATTGTTATTCTTATTCCCAGCTTTAAAAAAAAGAACGAGGATTGGCGATTGGAAGGGACTCCCCCAAGGTCACATAGCTGGTGGGTGGTAGAACCAGGACTCCCATTCCCAGGCTCTTTCCTCTCACTCTGACCTGCCTCATCCTTCGCAGGGAAAATTAATGTGCCGCTCTGAGTAAGTTCTCACTTTTAAAATGCTGTATGACTCACCTCCAAAAAGCTGCGTCAGTCATTAAAAGGATGCTTCTGAAGAGATTACAATAACATGGGAAATGCTCACGGTATAACACAGGGTGAGAAAGCGTCAGAACAGATTGCATTTGCATTCTGAGCTCAGCCACGTATAAAAGTTACATGGTAAAGAGACTGGGAGAAATAGACCAAGTATCAGCCCTACAGCAGACGGTGGGATCACGGTGGACTTTAATTTCTTTTTCCACACTTCTCTGTATTGTCAGTCTTTCCTCCTAGGAAAATGCATCGCTGCTAAAATGAAAACAGACATGCAACAAAAATTACCTGGGAGAAAAATGACTTTCAAGGATATTCCTTGGTCTTAAGTTACGACCAGACTTTGCTGTGTTCATTCCCTTACTGTCATCCTTACGACCCAGGAGAGGGAGTCAAGAGGATTAAATATGTATCACACATCCGCTACTCCCTGTTTCCCCTACACAGTAACCGTGGGACCTTGAGCAAGTTACTCAGCCCCTCTGTGGTTCAGTCTCCTCACGTGCACGGCGAGGATAATAACAGCAGGGGCATCTGCGAGTTACTGTGCGTCCTCACAGGTGGTTGACACGGACGCCTGGTGAACAGGAAGTGCTGGATAAATGTTAGCTGCTTTTGTCACTGATGACATCACCTTGTTATATTATTGGTATTATTACCATGTACTAGTACTACTTCTTATTATTATATTGCTGCCCCTACTACTGCGTGAGGACAGGTTGGACACTGGAAGACGTGGAGAACGAGACCACAGAGGATTATTGTCACGGTGACCTCTCACTTACACTCTATTCTCCAAGTTTTCCGAGATGGCTTTCATAATTAAAACCAACCTGTTTTAGGGATCAGCAGCTATTTTGCTGGGAAGGGGGAAAAGTTTACTATTATACGTATCAGCAGCTGAACTGCAGGAATCTTCAGGAATCTGTTTAGTTCAATCCCTCGATTTATAGACGAGGAAACTGGCATCCAGAGGACAGTGACTGGTCCAAAGTCACGCAGAGAGCAGCAGAGCCTGGGCCCAGGCTGTGGCATTGCCTTTCTTGTGCCCAGGAGCAAGAGCATTGCTGGCAGAGGACAGAGCAGGTGAAAGGCCCTGAGGCCGGCTCGTTCCTACCCTGGAGGTCTCAGGACAAACACCCCCTTCCCTGAATACTCGGTCTGAATCTGCAGTGTCCCCAGCTATAATCATCTCCTTCAGGCAGCTGTTCCCTTCTTTTATGCTTACCTGGCCCATGAAGGCAGGGACCAGATTTTGTTCAGCGCACGACACTGAGTGCCCAGAAAATAATTGCTGGAAAAGCGAGTGAATGCACGACTCAGTAATCGTCCCCCTCAACCATCAAGAGGCAACACACGTGCTTTGCAGGATGTTCTAAGAATTAAATGAGACGAAGCGCACGAAGAGCATGAACCAAGGAGCTCAGCCCCTGGCATGGCGTCGTCGTCGGTGGTGTCTTATAAACAGAAACTCTAAACCTTAAATGCCCCCACCTGCACGGCACCACAAGTCAGTGGGAAGCTCTACTTGCTGCCTGGCTAAGCATGTGACAACAACAGGCCTCTGGGCACGCCTTGATTCTTAGGGTGTTGGTCTGCAGAGAGGTCTTATAACTCCATCCTGAAACTGGTCAGACTGGTTGAGGGATAAACTGCGAAATTTTTCCACACACAGCAGTAACCAACATGACTCGGCAACATGCTCAGCTTTGGGGAGGAAGCACTTTCCAGCCAGAGTTCAGCAAAACCCTGCAAGCTCGCTTTGAACCCCTGCACTTGGGGGACTCCCGTCAGACGCAGTAATCTCAGTAACACCCCCCCACCCCTCCACCCGGGCTGCTTTGTGAAATCTGTGGCTTTCTGAGTGAATTCGAGCAGCCTGCGGGTGGGGAGGCCCACTGTGCCTGCCTCCTCGTCAGTAAAATTGGGGTGGTGACTCATAACTTTCGGAGCGGTGCTGAGCATGAGTGAGGTTGCTTCTACCTGCATCTGAGGATTTTTGGGATTAAATTAAATAATGGTTGTGAAAACACCTGGTCCAGGGCCAGACACATCGCAGTCAGTAACTCGGAGCTAGAGACGTGCGTTCGAATTCCAGCTCAAATCCCATGGCTAATTCTGCGTGTTGGGAGAGTTACTTTCACTCTCATCTGTAGCTGTGGGAGCATAAATAACTTAGAACATTGCGAGGCAGATTAGCAAAGCCTTTCATAGTCCCTAAAATTTGCAGGACCCAGGACAAGAGTACGAGTGGAGGCCCACTGACCCTATGTCTACATATATCACCTGAATTAAGTAAAATGCCATCTCTCTCCCTACCTCGACACACAGCCTTTCATAACGTTGTGGAACTGGGCTATCTAATGCGGCAATGGCTAACCACAGACGGCTATTTCAATTCAATTTTAAAATGAGATTTGTGAACTAAAATAAAATCTTAAGGCTCACCCCTGCACCGGCTGACTGACTGGACCTCTTTGTGGCCAAAGGAATATCCTAAAACTAAATTGCCTTCCAGGAGGAGGGAGGTCAGATATGCCTCATCATGCCCCCCTCCCTTCTTGGGGACATCCTTTGTAACCCATTAACAGGCCTAAGGGTCTGTGAGACAAACCTGCAGGTCCTCAACTTACACAACAAATATGTGTCCGGTGGCTCATCTCTGATAAACGGCTCCTATGTTAAAACATTTCAAGCCTTTAGACAAAGCTTCATGTCTTTAACCAATTACAAGTCAAAGAATCTTTAAACCCACCTATAACCTGTAAGCCCCTCCTTCGAGATGGTCCACCTTTTCGGGCCAAACCAATGTATGCCTCCCACGTCACCCCTGTCTCCCTGAGATGTATAAAACCAAACTGTAACCCAGCTACTGTGAGTCCACTTGCTCAAGGCTTCCTGGGCGTGGCTCCGGGTCATGATCCTCAAATTTGGCTCAGAGTAAATCTCTTTAAAATTATTTTAAAGAGTTTGGCTTTTTATCTGTTAACAGATTAAGTAAAATTAAAAATTCAGTTTCTCAGCTGCACTAGCCACATTTCAAGTGTATAACAGCACTCGTGGTTGGCAGCTACTGTATTGGACAGACAGAATGTTCCAGCAATGCACCCTGCTAGTCTGGAAGGATGGGTGGGAATTTAGAGATCTGGGACTCCTCGGAGTTCTGAGCTGGAATAAGGTGGCCTCTGGCCCCTGGCTGCCTTCCCTTCTCATGCCTTGCTCCGTCCCTAACTGCATGGATGTCCCGGCCAGCACAGCCAAGCCAACGGCCAGCCCTGGCGACCTCGTGGGCCTGGGGTGGGCACACCAGTGTCAAGGTCTGTCTGTAGGAGGACAGAGGCAGGCCCTGGAAGCAGGCTCGGACCCTTTGGGCAGGAGATTCAGGGATCCCGGGTGTCCAGAGCACGATTGGGGTGGGGGTGGGGGCACCCCTCTGGGTGGGCAGGACCCCAGGGCCCTGTGACCTCCCCTGTGGAGAAGGGGCCCTGCTGGAGAAAGGAAGGTCAGATCAGTGCCCTCCAAAGTGCCCAGCCCAGAGCAGGGGCCCTTGTTGCCAGGGTCTAAGAGCAGACAAGACATTTAACTCAGGGACTGGCACATGGTGAGCTCTCCATAAATGGTGACGTCTCTCCTTATCATGTCTTCATTTCTGCATTTGGAGACAAAAACCAAATCTACCGATTCAGTCATTGAAGCCGCTGCTTCTAGGTCCAAAGTGCTTCCTCCTGTGATTGCACTTAGGCGTGGATGGCGGCTGCACCGGGACTCGCCTCCAAGGCAGAGGACAGTGCCCTTCGGGACCAGGGCGGGGTGACTGTCCTTGCACGCCCACACCCCTGCCGCCGCTCCCCTGCCCTGCCCCCTGCGTAGGCAGCCCCATTGCCCTGCATAAACAGGCCCAGGGCGCCAAGAGGCTCTGCCAGCCACACCTTCCTTTGACCCCAGCTGGCCCAAACGCAAGGGAACCAGGCGGTTGGGAGGTCCGGGCTTTTAAGTCTAATGCACTCTTGCTCGTTCTGTGTGGGAAGCACTTTTCACCCTGGACAAGTTCCGGATGCTAAAGGAAGACCTTGTGCTCTTGCAGAGACCTTGCTTTACATTTTTCATGTATTCCTCATTCATTCATTTCAAATATTTAAGAGCTTAAGGAGCTCCCTCCGAGCGCAGGGGTGAACCACTGACGACACAGAGTCCCTGCTCCTCAGAGCTCACGCTCCAGCAGGCAGAGGGACCGAGCAAGGTCATCGCACTTGAGACAGGGGTGGAGAAGGAGCCGCAAGGTGCCGTTGGCGTGTGCAGACTCATTCGAGCAGGTGATGGTGCCGAGCCCTGAAGGATGAGTGGGGATTTGCTAAACTCAGAGGTTCTCGCCCAGGGCTGCAGGTTAGGATCACGGGGGGCGGTGCTGAGACCACAGCCAGGCCTGGCCCCTGCCCTGGAGCTGCTCTGGGCTGAAGCCCAGGCCTGGGTGTGGTGGCAAAGCTCTCCTGGTGACCCCAGTGTGCAAGGAGCGGGGAAGGTGATGCAGGGGGAGGGGAGCTGCAGAGTTGTGCAAAGGCCCCGGACCGAAAGGGCTTCTAAGAAAGGGCAACATCTCCCTGGGGTCACGTCTCTAAGAAGTCCCTGGGTAGGATGGAGCCTGAGCCGCCCGATCTGGGCACTTGAGCCTCCATCCACCCGCCTGACTTTCTCGTTTCAATACACAGGCAGAGCGACTTGAAAGTGAAGTAAGAAGACATTTTTAAGGGACAATAAATAGCAATTAAAAAGCGTGGCCGGCGCTACCCACCGCAGAGCTTGATCTCTGCTAGTTTCAAAGCAGCGGGTGGCTCACACGATGGCCTTTAAAACACACATGCTAACCTTCTTAGCTTGGGTCCAAGGAAGCAAACCATTTCTCCGGCGTGATGAAAAGGTTATAAAACCTTGCAGGGTGTGGGCAGGGGGAGGGAGTGTGCTCCTCTCTGTGTACCATCCCTGGGCTGAGGTCAGCCCTGTGATTCTGCCACCTGGGAGCTTGGTGACACCCACATTGCTTCCTGGAACCAGCAGACAGTCCGAGGCGCCGCACTGCGGTGCTTCCCGGAGCGAGGGGTGCGGAGGCGTGTGGCTCGTGTGATGACTTTATGAGACATGGCCGCTTATTCAACAGCCCCGAATCCTTTTTTCTCTTCCAATCTTTCTGTCTGGGTCAACTAGAGAGTCTCATTTGGGTGCCACGATGTCGTTAACACCTAATACTTTTAAAACTTTCTTTCTGCACAAAGAGATCAAGCCTTGGCAAGCAACAAGCCTTTGGCTTAAGCTCAAGGCCTCTGCTTTCTGTCCACTGTCTGAGTCTCATGCTTGCCTTCTTTGTGCAGCGAGCAATGCCGCTTGCCACTGGGTGGTTTCCTCTCAAGTGAGTTTAGTAAAGAGTGAGTTGATTGAAACAAAAAAAAAGGACTTTCATATGTTAAATGGAGGTGATAGGAAATATGGTAAAAACCACGGCAGAGACACACGAATGCTGCGGCTGGGGGAATGCTGGGGAGACGGGAGAGAGGCCTCCTCTGCAGTCAGACACACCTGGGTTCAAACGTGAGCTCCTGTGCTCACGGGTTGGGAGTACGGCTGCACCCCTGCACTGCGGAGCCAGGGGGAAGGGTGGGAGGAGGCTCCCTGGGTACTGTGGGACCGTTCCCCAGGCCTACAGAGCCCCGAGAACAGTCAGTCCCATCTGAGGCTCCTTCCAGGAGTGAGGTCTGCTGGAGAACAGCGGAGTCACTGAGTCACTATCCTGGGGCAGTTACACACAGGGGTTCAGAGACAGGTGGGGCAGGGGTCCAGTCTTAGCTCTGCCACTCTGAGCTGTGCGACCTTGGGCACATTTCTTAGCCTCTCTGAGCCTATTTTTTTTCTTTTTTTTGAGACAGAGTCTTACTCTGTCGCTTGGGCTAGAGTGCCGTGGCGTCAGCCTAGCTCACAGCAACCTCAAACTCCTGGGCTCAAGCGATCCTTCTGTCTCAGCCTCCCGAGTAGCTGGGACTATATGCTCACGCCACCACACCTGGCTATTTTTTTCTATTTTTAGTAGAGACGGGGTCCCAATCTTGCTCAGGCTGGTCCCAAACTCCTGACCTCAAGCGATCCTCCCCCGCCTTGGCCTCCCAGCATGCTGGGATTACAGGCATGAGCCACCGCGCCCAGCCTGAGCCTCAGTTTTTCCATCTGTAAAATGAGCCTGACACGAGGAGCTTTCCCGCAGGTTGTTCCGATCATTAAGTGAGGTAAGAAAAACAAAACGCTTAGCAAAGTACCTGGCACATAGCGTGCACTTAGCAAATGTGAGCCATCAAAATGGAATTGAATTGAATTCGGTTCCATTTAAATTAATTAAGTCATGAAGTCAGTGAATTCTGGAGCCAGAAGCCTCCGTAGCCTCCTTATGTCCAGCCCAGAGCCTTGGCTGCAGGGCCCTGATGGAGGATAACGTCTGCCCGGTGGTCATTTTTAGTATAAGGACAGAGTCGTTCATCATCAGGGACTGTGCAAGCACATGGTGATGAATCCCTGCCACGGGCTATTAGGCGCATATTTGCAGTGATGTTTCAAGAATTATTTAACGTCATGGAGAGATGTTTAGATGTGCAAATAGGTGAGAAAAGCAGTGTGCAGAATAGCGCGACATATTCAGCCATAAAAAGGAAGGGAGTGCTGATATAGGCTACAGCGCAGATGCATCTCAGGAACACGGTGCTACCTGAAAGAAGCCAGGCACTATTGCCTGACCGTGTTTATAGACACCGTCTAGAAGAGCCCGAGGCTCGGAGACAGAAAGCGCATGAGTGGTTGCCTGGAGCAGGGAGAGGGAGGGATTAGGAGGGGATGGCTAAGGGTGTAGGTTTCTTTCCGAGGTGATGAAGATGTTCTAAAATTAACCTCTGTGGAAAAGAATTTGGAGATACCTCAGAGAGCTAAAAATAGAAATACCATTCGATCCAGCAATAGCACTATTAGGAATCTATCCAAAAGAGCACAAAACATTCTACGATAAGGACATCTGCACCCGAATGTTTATGGCAGCACAATTCACTATTGCAAGAATGTGGAAACAACCCAAGTGCCCGTCAATCCATGAGTGGATTATCAAAATTTGGTATATGTTTACAATGGAATATTACTCAATCATAAGAAATGACAGTGATCTAGCACCACTTACACTTTCCTGGATTAAACTTGAGCCCATTATCCAAAGTGGGGCACCACAAGAGCAGAAGAATGGAATCCATTTGTACTCACCATCAAACTTGTATTAACTAATCAACACATAAATGCACATATCAGAACAACATCTATTGGATGCTGGGGAAGGGGGAGGGCGGCGGGAGGAGGGGATGGGTATTTGTATACACAAGGAGTGCAATGCGCACTACCCGAAGGATGGACATATTTGAAACACGGACTTGGGCGGGGGGGAACCAAGGGCAACACACATAACCTAAACATCTGTACCCCATAATATGCTGAAATAAAAAAAAAAAAAGATGTTCTAAAATTGATCATGGGGGGCAGGACGCACAACTGCATGAATACACCAAAGGCCACTGAACTGAGCACTTTAACTGGGCAAATTGGATGGTATGTCAGTGACATTTCAATGAAGCTATTAAAAATTATGCACAATATGATTAAAATTAACATAGAGAACAAAAGAGACTGGGAGGCCGTACAAATATATCCACAGTGATCATCTTCAGTGGTGGGCTTACAGGGATTTTTTTTTTTTCTTTTTCACATATCTGTATTTTCTTAAGTTTCTACTCTGAATATGTACGACTTTTGGAAAAATAATAAAAACCATTTTCTGTTGTTCTTTAAGAACAGTTCATTTTGGATTTACACATCAACCAAAGACGTGCCAAAGTAACTTCCTACCTGGGCTGACGTCTCTCTCGCAATAAAGCAAACCTCCCTTGAGGCCGTTACCTTGTCCACGTGGAGGGGCACGGCGAACCTCCTGAGCGTGGGCACCGAGGTGAGCCTGGAGTTCTCCTCGAAGTCCTGGTTCAGGTTGGCCAGGTAGAAGAGCCGGTAAAGGCTGTCGTCCTCGTAGGCGATGACGTCAAACAGAATACAGCCGTCCTCTTCGTAGGCGTTGACGTGGTGGAAGACCACCATGGCGTCCGTGTAAAACTTGGTTGGCAGAGGCTTTCTGGTCCTTTGGTCGATGATGTGAATGTAAGTCTGAAAGAAGATGCGCCCCCGGCGGTCAGCTCTCCCTCTGCGGGCCCGGCACTGTGGCATCCGGGGACTGCCTAAGATCCAGCCCCGCCAGGCACTAGCCAGTGACTGTGTCCCTTCCCCATTCTGAGTTCTGTGTCTGCTTAACAGTGCCAGGCAGGACAAAGCGCCCAGGAGATGAAAGCTGTTTGTTGTTGGGTTTCCATAATGGTATCTTTATGATGGAGAGGAGGGAAGCTTTGCTGCCTGGTTCTTTGCAGTCATCAGGAGGACGTCTGGGGACACTCCCCCAGGGCGCACTGTCCCCTTGTTTCATTGACCGTGACTCTGAGTGGGTGGTGACACGCCAGCTCCCCAGCAATGACCAAGTTGGGGAGAACCTGCCAGGTGCCAGACTCTGTTCAAGATGGGAGCCCCTAAAGCCCTAACCCCACCCCCATCCTTTGGGGTCCCCTCTCCTGACCTCCACTACAGAGCCCACTTCCTACTTTGTCTCGTTTGCCAAGAGGCACTTGTCACAGCAACCCCACCTATCCGGAGGGCTGCAGGTGGAGTGACCCTGGGTCCTCGCTAACAAGCCCACAAGGGAGTGTCAGCTCATTAGGCCTCCAGACGCACCTCTTGGGTGTCACGAGGCCAGCATCGCTCTGGGTGGTGATTAGCCATATCTGCAGGCTGCGTTGCCCAATCCAAAGTGGGGGAGTGTTTTCTTTCTCTTGGCAGCTCCGGCCTAACCACCCTCCTCCTGCAAGGGAGGGAGGCCTGCTCCAGGCTGCTCTCTCACCACCTCCTCCCCGCTTCCCCAGAACCAGGCCGGGATGTTAAACAGGGTTACAGAGAAAGAGGGCTTTGATAGTGTGTGTGTGTGTATGTGTGTGTGTGTGTGTGTGTGTGGGTGCGTAGGGGGTCAGGATGGAGAGGTGAAGATGGGGGTGATTATTTTAGGCCTTTTCTTCCCCATGACCCCAATCCCTGGGCCAGCCACATGGACTTTCCAGAAAGTTCTCTGGCAAAGACAGTCCAAAGCCTTTCCCGGGGCCATCTGCCCTGCCATCTTGGGTTCTAACTGGTCTCGCGTGGGACTCTCTGAGGGCCAGGGACTGAGGGCTGCCCGTTTGGAGGCTTAGAGGGCCCCGTACCTCCTGCGGGAGGGAAGACCCCCAGCCGTGTTTGGGGAAACTGCTGCCAGCAAACTCAATTTCAGCAGTGGAGCTGGGGGCCCCTGCTCATTCCTGCCACAGATATTTATCAGGGGTCTACCACTCATCAGATGCTTCTCTGGGAACCAGAGGGACAAAATAGGACCAAGCCCCTGCTTTCACGGAGCTTATGTACTAGTGGGGGTGAAGCCAACAACAAAAATCAAATGTACAACATGCCAAGGATGACGGGCGCTCCTGAGAAAGCAGAGTCAGGGGTGGAGAAAACCAGGGGCGTCTACTAGAGACAGTTCATCAAGGAAGGCCCCAGAGATCAGGGGCCGTGGAGCCCAGGCTAGGTCAGCCGAGGGAGGAAGCTGTCTGGGGGATCAACATCGGTCCAGGTGGAGGGGATAGACATGCAAAGGCCCTGGGGCAGAGACATGTTTGGCCAGTTGGAGATCCAGGAGGAGGCTTGGAGTGAGCACAGAGCAAGTGGCTGGGACAAGGTTGTGTGGGGACGGAGGACAGTGAAGGAAGCCTTTGGATGTTATTTTGAGGAAGATAGGAAACCACGAGAAGGTTCTGAGCAGAGGAGGGACCTCCCATAACTGCTCTCCCCTTTGTCCCCTTAATTACCTTACTGTCTGCCCTGAGAGGAGAAAGGACAGGCCTTAAAGAGAATGGTCGGTTGCAAAGTGGGACACACATGTGCACATGTATGTAACAGTACACGCGAACACGTAGAAAGTGGAGAAGGTGTCAGATGAATAGCGGCGCTTCCCCATAGATAGGGGAGTGGACGGGGACAGAAGGGGACTTCATACGTGGCCGCTATATTTGTGTATTATTTGAATAGGTAACACTGAGAATTACTGGATATTTTTCAAAAGTAAAGTAACAGCAGCAAATAAATAAATATTAATAGTACACACATACACATATATGCATACACAGATATATTCATGCATACATGTATACATATGCATGCAAACATGTATATACACATACATACATACATATTTTGTGTGCTCAAGTATACCTGAACTGAAGGAGATGTTTCTAGAACCATCTGGAGGAACGCTCTCCCATTGCCATGTCTAAGTAACCTCTGGCACCCGCAACGTTACAGAGGTAGCAGACATTCGGAAGGGGCCTTGTGGACAGAGCAGAGCAGCGAGGAGCCACACTGTCCCTCAGGACTGAGGACTCGGTCTGTTTGCTGCAGGGTATGTGGGGACTGCCCAAGGTGACACCCTGTTCCTGGGACATTCTGTATCCAACGACTCATGGACGTGGGGGTATAAAGGCCCGGTCCCCTTGCCCTAACTTGGGACCACTCTGAAGGACCACCCAGCTTCAGAACTCTCTAGAAGGTAGGCAGATGCTTCCAAGGAGACTGTGTGGTAGCTCCCTCCCCGCTCCACGCTGCTTCCTTCCCTCAAACCCCCTTCATGCCGACCTCCCTCTGAGTCTGCCCCTGGGTCAGCCACCCCTGCTGGGCTAGTGTCCCTGGCGGGCCTCACCTTGTCCTCCCTGTGGAAAGACAGGCAGGAGGCCCAGCTCACTCCCCGGATGTACGCGGTCGCCATCTTGAGAATATCCAACTTCAAAGGCAGCTCGAGAAAAATGGCGTAGTTCTCGGTGACCCCAAAGCTGTGGTAGTAGCTCGGGGAGAGGAGGGAGCGGGAGGGGATGGAGCAGAACACCTCCGTGTGCTTCCAAGGGCTCTTCCCCTTCTTCTTGTCCTCTAGAGAAAAGCAAGCCTTGGGAATTGGGACTCGAGCAGGAGGCGGTGGCCCCCCAGAAGACACCACTGTCACTTACGAACTGACTTCGTTGCTGAGAACCACCTCTGAGTAAGAGCCAGCAAGTCAGCGGATGAAGAGGTGCAGGGGACCAGGCTGAGACCCTCCCACTCAGGCCCGACCCCCTGGGGATCCCTGGTATCCAACCTGAGGACCACCGACCCACAGAGGGAGGCCTCCAGGCCAGGGGTCCTCCATTGCAGCCTCCGGCTAACCCCTGCCTCCACCTGATTTTGTAAATAAAGTTTTATTCGGAACAGGGCCACGTGCACTCCTTTATGCATTGTCTCTGGCTGCTTTTGCTTTCAGGCTACGCTTGGCAGAGCTGAGCCATTGTGACAGAGACCGTAGGGTCCCCAGAGCCTTCGATATTTACTATCTGGTCCTTTTACAGAAAAAGTTTGCTGACCCCTGCCCTGGAGCAGCGCTTCTCAAATTTTAATGTGCCTATGAATCCTCCAGGCACTGTGATGAAATGTGGAGTTTGACTCTGTGCCGGGCAGGGCTTGAGAGTCTGCGTGTCTCTCAAGCTCCCAAGGGATGGGAGCGTTTCCCAGGCTTGAGCTCTGCTATTTTTCTGGGAACCATCACTTGGCATGGATTTCATAGGGTTTCCATGAACTTCTCTTGACAGTGCCCATCCTAAAACACCTGGGAATGGAATTAAGTACCTACTGCCATGAGGGGATTTTACATATATTGTGATGATCAGGTTGGGCTGTAGGATGCCCATTTTACAGATGGGAAACTGAGGCTTGGTGGAAAGGGCTATCATTATGGTCAGAGTCCCAGGGTTAAGACCCTTTAGCCTTGGCTTCCTGCTTTGTCACTGGGGATCGTGACACCCATAGAGTGACGGTAGAGCAGAGGACGAAGTAACGCAGGCGTCAGGTACTTTGCTCTGCGTCCAAACACGCAAGGTGCTCAGTACACATTCGGTTTTCAATTCCTCTGCAAGGATGAGTCACTTGCTGGCCAAAAGGGCTCCCCACCCAGGCCTGGGGCTGCCTTATAATGAGTTATCTGCAAACATCCCCACCTCTCTTGTGGCCACCTGGGCACGCTGCAAACAGCTGGCTGGTGGGAGGTATGGTGTGGGGCTGTGGGCTGATTCTCTTCTTCCCAAAACAAATGGAGCACGATGCAAACTGAAATGAAAAGCACCTTGGCCTGAGAGGCACGAGATGGGCCACGCATCCCAGTGCAACACCAGCACAGAGCAGGTGCTCAGAGGATGGTTGCTTCCATGAAGTTGGTGGCTCCTGTAGGCTGTGTGACCGTGGAATGTCACCTGATCCCCAGGGCCTCACAGTCCTTCCCTGTAATACCAGGTGGCAAATCCAACTGCCTAGATGACCCCCAAGTCTGAGATTCTAGGATTCTGAACTCAACCTCATTGGCTTTATGGGCTTAATGAATGGGAGCTCTATTTTATCAAGTAAACTCATTGTACCTTTGACGCTGGAGGCTCACACCTCTCCACACAGCCTGGTAATTTGCTCAGGGGGTTCTACAAGACTGGAGGGGAGGGAACCAGCAGGGACGACAGATGGAAACTAGTTTTCCCAAACCAGAAGGTCAGGTCGAGCACCTGTGTAGTCCTATACTGTCTCCTGAGTCCCGCACAGCTGCCCTCGGAGGCTTAGTCTCCTGGGTGCGGCTCCCAGGAGGGTCCTGGACAAACACAGGCTAGGAGCCTCGCCCTCCTCCCCCTCAGGAACGTGCAATCACAGTCAGCCTGGGCTTTGCTCCAGGATCCCGGCCCTAAATGGAGAAGGTCCAGAAGGCCCAGAGAATAGGGTGGGGATCTGGAGTGGATCCCAGAAGGGCCGAGCTCCCTGAATAGCCCTGGAAACCTGGCTTCAGGGGCTGGGGATGAAAGGAGGCGGCACAACCCTGCCATACAAAGGTTTGTCGGGAGACTAAAAAAATGGACCGATAGATGGATCAGTGGATGGATGGGTGGATGGAATGGATAGAAGGTCAGATAGATAGATGGGTGGGTGGGTGGATGAATGAGTAGACGAATTGATGAATACATGGATGGATGGGTAGAAGGATGGACAGAAGGGTGGATGGATGGATAAATGAATGGATAGAAGGATGGAAGGGTAGATGGGTGGATGGATGGATGGATAGGTGGATCGGTGGGTGGATGAATGGATGGATGGATGAAGGATGGACAGAAGGGTGGGTTGATGGGGATGGGTGGGTGGATGGATAGAAGGATAGATGGGTGGAGGAGTGGGTAGATAGATAGATGAATGGGTGGGTGGACAGATGGATGGATGGATAGATGGGTGGAGGAGTGGGTAGATAGACAGATAGATGAATGGGTGGGTAGACAGATGGATGGATGGATAGATGGGTGGAGGAGTGGGTAGATAGACAGATAGATGAATGGGTGGGTGGGTGGATGGATGGATGGATAGATGGATCAGTGGGTGGATGAATGGATGGATGGATGGATAGAAGGATGGATAGAAGGGTAGGTGGATGGATAGAAGGATAGATGGGTGGAGGAGTGGGTAGATAGACAGATAGATGAATGGGTGGGTGGATGGATGGGTGGGTGGGTGGATGGCAGCCTAAAGAAAAGGAGGTTAGAATAGTAAAGGAATTCCTTTTCTTCCAAAAGGAATCCCAGCAACTTCTCTTTTCTCCTAAAGGAGAAGACTGAGTTCACGGTCATCTGAATAATCTACAGCGGAAAGTATCCCATTGAGTCTTGTGTCATCGACAAAAATCAGAACTCTTCCGAAGGAGCCACCCTTGGCAGTTTGTGTTTTACTATATTCCCCAGAATGACCTACCTGGCACTGTGGCAGGGATCTTAAATATCACATATTTTGTCTTCCCCTTGTCCACAATGGATGTGCCCATGTTGAGAATATTTCCAGCCTCATCGTAATGAGGATGTGATGTTGCCAGATTCACAGCCACATATTTCCGATAATCCACCTGCAAAATAGGATGGCCACCTGGTTTTTCAAACGAGAAAGGGTGAAATCCTGCGTACACCGGACTGATTCTAGGTTCAGGGAGATGATGGATATTTTCGTATATCTCCCGATCTAAAAATAAGACAGATTTGCCTTTACGGAAGATATTTACTCTCACGACCCGATGAAACCTCACATGGGGCACTGGGGGGGGGGGTGTCCTACAGCAAATAGGTTGCAGGGGACGTGGGGAGCTGCTGTTTCTGTGGCTGTTGTTCCCATCCTCCTGCCTGGCCCTCAAGGGTGTCCTCAGCGTGGAGAGGGGAGGCCTCACCACAGAGAGCTCCAAGCAATGACCTGGCCAGAAAGGTAGCCTTCACCTTGGCTGCTGCGCTGGGTCCTTCTGCTTAAGTCATTTAAATTCTCCCCTTTGGCATTCCACAGAGGCATAAATCTCTGGGCCTCTTTAATAGGCTTATTCTGGGAATGAAGAGGTTATAAAAACATTTGGTCAAAGCAAAACTTGACTCACAAGCTGAATAATGATCCCCCCTCTGAACAGGTCACAACTGCAGAACAATGAGGTGGCCGGAGACCAACCGTCCACCCTTCCTCCCCTAGAACTGCGCGGCCCACAGTCAGCCAAGAGTCAGGTAACACGCCATTCTCTCCCGGCGTTTCCTCTCTGCAGCCCTGTGCAAAGCCTGTATCGGTTGGACCGATGCATCCTGGCCTAAAAGGAGCTGGACGCAATTTCGCAGCTAAGAAAAGCCTCATCCCTCTAACAGATCGTTAAAATGTATCGCAGAGACACCGGGGCTCTGAACAGCCAGCTGGAGAAAACTGAAAGTGGGTCTATTGATTTTCACCAAAATGTTGACTCGATTCTTCCCAGGAAAGGTATCTGCTGGGGCATTTATTTTTGTGCTCTTGCGGACTGCCTAATGCCTCCCTCTTCAGGTCAGTGCCAGGTAGGGCTGCTGGAGTGTGGACGGCCCAACACAGCCGTTCGTTCCAACTCTCACTGGACTCCCTTGGTGCCAAGAAATGGGGACACCGTTATGGGTTGAATTGCGTCTTCCAAAAAGATACTTGAAGCCCTAATCCCTGGTACTTGTGAGTGTGACTTTACTTAGAAATAGGGTCTTCGGGGATGTAATTAGGTTAAGCTAAGGTCATGCTGCGTGACCTTATCTTAGGGTGGGTCCTAATCCAATGACTTGCGTCCTTATAAAGGGTGGGAAATTCGGACGCCCAGGCCACAGGCAGGACGCTGTGTGAGGATGGAGATGAAGACTGGAGTAATGTATCCACAAGCTGAGGGACACCAAAGATTGCCGGCAGCCACCAGAAGCTGGAAGAAGGGAGAACCTTCGAGAGGCTTCAGAGAGAGCATGGCCCTGCCAACGCCTTGATCTCAGATTTCTGACTCCCCAGACTGTGATGGAGGAACAGCAGGCCTGGGAAACTTGAGATAGACACAAAGGCGAACAGGACACAGTCCCTGCCCTCTAGTGCTAGCTTGTGCTGGGGAAGCCCACGATCGAATGGCCTTAGAGAAGGGGACCTCTGAGCTCCTTGCAGGCCACCCAGCCTCACCCAGGGGTCCCCAACTCTCCCTTTTTTGAGTCAGGAACTGATGCCTGTTGTATGTTCACTGATACCTTCTCCAGGGTTTCCAGTGTCTGCGGGTTGATTTTCCTGATGTAGTTGGTCTCTGTGGTCGCGTAGAAGTCCTCCCCGCACTTCATGATGTTGATCAGGCAGTTGTCTGTGAAGTCCGGGATGGTGTGGGACAAGTAGGAGAAGGCTCTGGGGACAAGAGCAAAGCAACAGAATCAACGGCTGCGTCCGCCCAGCTGGGAAGTCCTGCCCTGTCGCTGGCTTTAGTTTTCCTACCACTTAAAAATGCTTCACTTTAATTAAGAAAGAAAGAGTACCGGGTCCCAGTGGGTCACTTGAGGAATTCTGGGAACACAGATCTCAAGTTCCCGAAGGACACCCCTCTGTCGGGTCAGCTGGGACACCACGGCCACCAGCTGGTCCCTGCTGGGCTCTCGAAACTCTAAAGGTCTCCAACGCCAGAGCCAGCAAGAGCTGGTGGGTTGTTCCCAAGCATTTCTGGAAGCTCTACAGAAACCGTAGAGCTTTGGACGCCCACGATGGCATCCAAAGCTTAGAAAGGTAGCTAATACCCCCTTTGGCAGCAACGGGAGTCCACACAGGTTATCTCAAATTTGTCCAGGAAATCAGTTTTTAAGAAAAGGAAAACAAACTGATTATGAGTGAAGAACACATAGTTCATTCAATCAGAAGGTACACTCAAAGCAGGAAGAAAGAAAAACCAGAGAAGGTGATTTGGCGGTGAAATTGGCAAACACCCGATCTGTGTATCTATCGAGTAGTGCGCCTCCTACTGACCGATAGTGGAATGGCAAGGAGGCGTCGCGCATTAGCACTTCACATTCATCCCCTCCCCTCCCCCTCTCCCCACCGCTCCTCCCTGCTTGCAAAAGTGAGCTCAGCGCTCGCTCGCCCTGCTTCAGCCCTCAGGGAATGGAGAGATGACGTCAGTTCTGGAAAAGCAGAAGTAATCTTCCACCTCTGGGCGGGTCTACCACTAACCCTTTCAGAACCCGTCTATGTCTAAAGAGCATCAGAAAGGAGACCCTGACGGCAGGCCTGATTCCCTGGCCCAGAATTTAAGTGGCAGATTGGTTCAGACACATTCAGAGGCATCATAACCCAGATGATTTTAAATGCATACAGTAAAAAAAATCTCTCCCATCCCCCCCTGTCCATTTTTGCCATGCTCCTCCTCCCTCAAGCACCCTGAAGAGTTTCTTTAGGCATGCACAAGCAAAAATAAATCTAGACTTCCTCCTGCTGTGTCACACAAAATATAGCATAGTGTACGCTTTTTCTACATCTTGGTTTTTTCCCCCCTTAATATATCCTGGAAACTTTTCCAAACAGCACATAGAGACATCCTCGTTCCTTTTTACTCCTGCGTGGTATTTTCTTGTGGAGTTTGGCTGTTATTTACTTTACCACCTCTCTGTTGATGAACATTTGGGTTGTTTTCGGTTTCTTGCTATAACAAATGATGCAGCCATGAATAACCTTGCACATTTGTCACTGCAGACTGGAGGGAGTATAGCCCTAGCCTGAAGGGATTGTGCCTTTGTAATTCTGATACTTGCAGATAGCGTTTCCACCAGCTATGTGGGAGAGCATCTAATAATTTGCCAAACGCTCTCTGCCTCTTGTGCCATCAGTGCTGGAGAACTGCGTAGCGCCTATGGTCAAAGGGCAGTGGTGGAGTTTTTATCCACCCCAAAGAAAACCGTCAGAGGGGCAAAGGCTGTTGTTTGGACCGTCAAGGACATCAGAATGCATGAAATGTGGTCAGATTCAAGACGGGCAGTTACTTGGAAAATATGTTTTTGCAGGGGTCCGGATAGGCCATGGTTCCAAACTCTGACACCACGATCCTGTTTGCCTCGATGTTGGCGCTGTACGTATCACTTCTCAGGTATTTGCTCCTGTAATAGACCTCACCTGGAAGAGAAGCGCAGAACAGTCTCAGGCTGACAGCTTTGGAGGGCTTTCACATCCATTCCAGCCGTCCTGGGGGTTTTACTGGGGGAGGGGGTGGTTAGGTCACCAGGATGGGCTCCTCTGGTATGCGTGCCTGATACTGCTAGCACTGGGAATACGGTTTCACGCACACATGTCCTCACCTGAGACTCACAACAACGTGGCAAGGTTAGCACGCCTATTCTTAGCTCCATTTTCCGTAGGAAGGAACTCAGGCTCAGAAACGTCCTTGCTCAATGTCGCCCAGCTGAGAGGTGCTGACCCAGGGGACGGGAAGCCCTCCGCTATGTTCGTATCCATCCAGGGAAGGTGCAGAGTTGGGGACTGGTCCAGAAAACTGCATATGTGGGCGGGGTTTCCCCAGGGCCTCGTTCAGTCCTGGGAGCCCTGCCTTCAAAAGCCTGCGCTGACCATTATTTCAGCCCCCCTGGGGTCACATTTGATATCTACTGCCACCACGAGGTGACCTAATGACAGATTCTGCATCCCAGTCGAGGCTCAGTACTGTGCTTAGTGTCTAATTCATCCAGTCTCCGGAGAGAATCTAACTCACGGCATCAAAGCAGGGCTTTTTGACCAGTCCATGGAGAACAACCCGAAAAGATACCAGATGGTTCTAGACCTGGGTTAGTTTCCTGTTGCTACTGTCACAGCCTGCCACAGACTTGATGGCTTTAAACAACATGCACTTGTTTTCTCATAGTTCTGGAAGACATAGTCTGAAATGAAGCTTACAGGGCTAAAGCAAGGTACGGGCAGGGCTAATTCCTTCTCGAGGTTCTAGGGGAGAATCCGTTCCTTGCGTTTTCTAGCGCTTAGAAGCTGCCTGCATTGCTTGGCTAGTGGCTGCATCACTGTGACCTCTGCTTCCATTGTCATGTGTCTTTTTCTGAGGCTGATCCTCCCCCCTCTCTGAGATTACACTGAACTCACCCAGATAATCCAGGATAATCCCCCAACTCTGGACCCTTAATTTAATCACATCTGCAAAGTCCGTTTTGCCACGTAAAGCAACACAGTCACAGGTTCCTCCTGGGTGGGGGTGTGGGGAGGCCCCTCCCAGTTGGGAATATATCAGGAGAGGCTTCGCGAAGGCGGCGGTGCTTGAAATCGCCCTGGAAGGACGAGCAGAATTCGACTGCAATGGATTAGGAGGCAGGAGTAGGAGGCAGGGCTTTCCAGTTGCCTCCCCAGGAAGCCTGGAAGCAAAGGCCTGCAGGTGGAAAGATGCAGGCCGTTCCTGCAAGAGCTGAGGCAGATTGGGCGGGAACACTAGCTAGGGGCTTGGGAGCAGCAGGAGTGAAATGAGTTTGGGGAATGGGCTGGGATGAGGGGGACTCCTGGGTCTGCAGGCTTTATTTGGTGGGTACCAAATAAAGTGGTCACCCACAGGCAAGGTATTCTGGGCCCCACGGGCGCTTGGCCTGAACTGCTGACTTCTTTTTTTTTTTTTGAGACAGAGTCTCACTGTGTTGCCTGGGCTAGAGTGCCATGGCGTGGTCTTAGCTCACAGCAACCTCAAACTCCTGGGCTCAAGCGATCCTCCTGCCT